CGAATGGGAAACATGCTTTTAAATAAAGTGAGGAAGAATTTATTTTCAAGGACTTGCACATACGAACTTAACACACAAAAATATTAAAACACCACGAGATTTGCTCATCGACTTACCACTAAATCATTTCCATAAATGAATAAATGTGAATATCAATGTTTGTGTTCATTTTTCGCTTCAAAGTATGGTGGTATATCTTGTTGAATGAACTTAATATTTGTATGCCTTTATTAGTAAAAATTAGGTTTACAATTTTATGTTGTGCTGCTTTGCAAGAACTGCTCATCCACAAAAAATTTCCAGTTGCACGAAACTTTTGTACGAGAAAACTTTCTAAGCAAATGGCAACTTGGTTCAACTTTAATGTTAACAAGCAAAAATAAGCAACATTGGTTATTATATTTGTAATACTTTAATTGCTTGTGCTTTTAATTAATCCCAAACTCAAAAAATGGTATTAAAGTGTGTAGCATTTTTGAATTCAAGCAAGACCCGTAGAAAATGTACTTTCACTAAACGAAACACTTCCACTTTCCTCAATTCCTCTCCTGTGGTTTGGTTTCTACAACTATTATTCCCCTTTCTTCCATTGTGATCTTAATTACACCGAATGCTGATTTCCACCTATCAAATATACACCCAAGAATAACACTTGTTTAATGAATATAGTATTTAACTAATCACACACTTGAAAAGTTATTATACAAATATATTTATTATTGGATACTCACAAAAAAAATACTTCAAAATTACAACAAAGTATTTCTCTCGAAAAAGAGAAAGGGTCCCAACACAATATATGGAAAAATATAATTCAGGCCACTAGGCATCAAAACATTTAATGGAATAAATCGGACTTAGACCCAAAAATATCCCCAAATTGTTGCTAAAACAAAATACACACCAATATCTTATGCGCATTAACATGAATTAAACAAAGTTTCTTGTTGATATCCATGTAATTTATTCCGCCACTTTTGAAGCTTTAAAGTTATACTTTAACAAAAATATGCCGATATTGTGCCAATTTTCATCAGCTTTAATCGGATTTCATTCGTGTATTAAATGCATTAAAAACGAAGATAATTAGTACAACATTACAACTGAAAATCATCAGAGCGAAATTATTTTCCTGCGGTTCGGATTCTGTTAATAACTAATGCACCTGATTGGAAAACTCCCAACATCTTGTCAACAGGAATCTACGCGTGTTCTCTTCATTTATTTATGCCCATTTTTGTGCTTCTGTTCTCCTGTTGCTGTTCACTATAACTAATTTAACAATTTAAATCTGTATTGAATGGGTTTGGGTCTACGTAAGTGTTTTCAATTGCACGAAAATGTTTCAGACAAATAATAGTATTTACGTATTGCCTTCTAACTATTCTTTCTTTTTATAAAAATTATTTTGATAAGTTTTTTTCCATAATTTAATTTTTTGTTTAAAAATTATTGCGGAACCGCAATACACAATCGCAAAAACTTCAGACCCTTTTCATTTCCCTATCGTACGAAAAAAAGCATCAGGTTTTCGGGTGAGGTTTCTGATGCTTTGTCTCTCGACTTTACCCCTTATACTATCCCCTGTTTGGCATTCCAAATGCCACCTAAAAACCTCACCCACCAAATGTATGAACAAAGAGAAAAACATTTCAATAAGGTATTGTGGCAATAGTCACAGCAACAAAGATGACCAAGGCGTGATGACTCAGGAGCCAACTGATGGAAGGAAGTGGCTCCTACCCCAAGCAGAGTGATTCAACCAACTTCCCAAAGGATTCGAGCCAGATCCAGCTATCCAATCTTCAACTAGAGAAGCCTTAGTAACCATGGAAGGATGAAAGACTATACAAAAAGAATAAAATTTAAAATAAATAATAAATAATTGTTTTTAAATATTTAAAATGGTATCAATCGTGTTTAAAAAACGTAAATTGTTTATGAATTTTGATATTAGAAAACTAACCGATAGCTGCTGGGATGACTCATCAAGCTTATGATGTGGAACGCACACTTGCCTTTGAAAATAACTACATGTCCTTTGTAAATTATCTGATTTTAAATCAAAATTAAAAATTCTAAACACATAATAAATATTTTTTTAAATACCCATACATATATACGAAACTTTGAAGACTTTTACTTTAGTTGGAAATTTCAACAGGAATTATGCCACAGGTTTGTAACACACGAAACCTTCTGCCTTGAACAAGATTACTTCATTCATTTTTTTGGTTTAAAAAAAAATTGTCACAAAAATGTAATTATCAAACAAAATCACAGTGTTTTATAATTTTTTTCAATATCTTTATGTCCAGTATCCTTTAATAAATCGTTGCAAAGCCATTAGAAAGAATAACGTTTGGCGGAGCAAATTAAAATTGATTGTCAATATTCCCAAAGCATTAAAGACTAGTTGATTGAGTGAAAACACATTGAATTTTATTTTTAATTAGTTTGTATTTGTATTCATATTAGCTTAAAAAACAAATCCAAACAAGGTAAGAACACAGTATTCAAAACATTCAATTATTGACGAAAGTTGCATACATTTTTCTTCACACACATGAACTAAAACGACGGAATAATTAGTTTCGTTCCCCTCCGCTTGCTGCACTCGTTAAAATAGACAATTAAAATGATTTATAAAATCGCTTTGAATATAAAAATCACTTATCTCTAATGCTTAGCGTTCACACTCAGATGGACCAGCCACGCCCACAAGCTGAACATGGCCGCCCATCACACATAAGTCGGTCGACTGCAGTTGGCCATACACAAAAATTGGATAAAAATTCAAGCGTTGCTTCGTCTATTTACAAAAATATGTTGCACGTTTATGTTTGGTTTGGATTTATGTTTTTTGCTTTTCGTTTAATTAAATAGCAGTTTTTAGAAACATTCGAATACATTTGTGGAGACCGTTTGGAACATCAATAACAATGACACAAGAAGACAACATAGGCTTTTCTTTTTGGAGCTGCGTAAGAAATCGAGGTTAACGTTAAGGTTGAGGTTGGGGATAGTAAAGTGTCTCAGTTTAACAATTGCAAAATAAACCATCGAAGCGGCTAACAAACGGATTTTGGGTCCAGTCTGATTGGGGATGGGCTTAAAACTGTGTCTTGACTCGAAGTTCTACTCGATACTTCGTTTGATTCACGTGTCTTTCGGGTTTCTTCTTTAAAATGCTTTTAATATTATTTAATATGCTCGTATTTACGTTTTAAAAGCTGACAACAAATGGAAATGCCTATTTAGAGAGAGGTACACTCAAAAAAATGCCCAAGCACAGCGGCTGCTACTCCGTCCGATCATCAATTGTACAATTTGTACATCTCGACTACTGATTTGTCTCGCCACAACGATATGGAGTGCTGCTGCTTCTTTCTGTTTCTGTTTCAGTTGCCGTTTCTGTTCTTGCGTCTGTTTCCGTTTCTATTTCCGTTTCCGGTTCCGGTTCCGGTTCCGCTTTTCTATTGGGTGTCGGCCACTGAACGTTCGAGTTTATAATTCATTATCTTCGTACTTCTATATGAGTGTTGCTGAATGTATACATAGTCCTTAGAAAGTAACCCTCGCGTTCCGTACGCCACCGTGCATGTTCGTGTCCTGTCCTAGCCCCACAATCCTTTCGTCCTTCGTCCTTTAGCTAACTAGCAATTAGTTACATATGTATACACACACCGTACCGCGTACCGGGGTCAATTCGCATTACATTCGCTATTTACATGGAACTCAAAGTTACGCCTCATAAATTTTGACTAGTTGCCTTGAAGGGGTCTCTCGCTCTCTGTACTCGTGTACTCGCTACTCCTTAACTGGTTACTCGATACTCGTTACTCGTTATTAGTTCGCTTAGGTTTTGGAATTTGGGCAAAATTTGCTTGCTTGCTTACTACATCGAGAGAAAAATGCTAGTTTTCTGAAATCCTTTGGATACACTTGATCATTTATCATCATTAATTCCTCGTTCAAACTCTAGCAGATGTCGACGTCCGGCTGTTTGTTGTCGTGCTCCTATCAGAGATTTACACAGTTGTTTATTCTAGACCTATATCACCGCTTAATTGTCTTAAACACTCTAATTATTTTAGCTTTAGCTTCCTCCTCCGCTATTGATCATCTGACACCATCTGTCTTTCATTCGTTTGGTTGAGTCGTGAGTTGAGTTGATTTGTTTTGTTTTCTGTTTTCTGTTTTGTTTGTTTTTGTTTTGTTGTGTCTTACAAAGTTAGTTGATTGATTATGAAAGTGGTGTGCCTCTACTTATCAAAGTTGCTCGAATTCCTCACTTGTTTTTCTTACATGGCTAGGTATGTATGCTTGCCATTATATATATTATATATAACTATTACAATGAATCATACAATATATGCGTACTTTGCAAGGTATTAATTATGTATTATGAAACCAATGCGATCCTATGCAAAACGTTATTCATTTTATGTACTCGTATGTATTGTATGTACCATTTTGCCTTTTGTACATAAAAATATATTGTATATTTATGCCATATATGTATGCGGTGCTAAACGCTGCACATCTGCTTATCAGCTTATCTGCTTGTTTGTACATTTTGAAAGCATCGCGAAATCGGACTTCCTCCGAATACATTTCATGTTCATATATAGTTTAAAATGTTCTGCCCTCGTCTTCCTGTGATCCGTATATGTACTTTGTTGTAGGAAACATTTTGGAAATGATATAAAAAATACATGCCATAAAACACACTACAAGATGATGTCAAAAAAACAAAACGAAGAAGCTTTTAGCTTGTGTTCGTATAGTTCTGATGTCTTTTCTCTGTTTTGGTTGGTTTTACGTTCTCATCGCTTACTGGGTAATCGTACTATAAATAAATAGCATTTGCAGCATACTTGCGTTAATAGTGGCGCTACTTTTAGTAATAGACGCGTTTTACTAGGCCTAATACAAATAGCGCTGATCTAAGGCTGTATTGCAAACCATTTTCCATATTGTGTGTGCGCCTGCTCGTCTTAATTTATCGAAATTCTGTTTATTTTAAGCACTTAGAACTAAACAAAGGTGTGTATCATTACTAAAGAAAAAAACAATACATTATATACAGCCAAACCAGTGCGAAGTGGTTCGATTTCGCCTTACACGTACTACACGAAATATACAATAAGTCTTAGATGTGTCTTGTATACATGTCGATCATAATGGGATTTGGTTTTCGGGATTTAGTGATGTATACGTGGCGCTTTGGCTTGTCACGCTAAGTTGCCTATGTGGATTTGGGGTTTCTGCCTCCTGTCCCTCAGCTGCGCAGGTGAAGCCACGATGCCATTGCCACCAGGAGAAGCCAGTTAACCAGGTGGGTCTTTGCGGAACTAACTCCAGTTTCGCCACATTTACCTGGGATTAAATAAATGGAGTATTAGTTTTACAGCATTTAAGGATTCTTCTTTTACTACTTACCCAAAACTGTAAGACTGGCTTCTAGGTGATGATCGGGGGGCTTCTGAGTGCCGCGGTAGCAGGCATCCCCCACAACCAACTTGGCGGAGGTGCCCTCCGTGGGTCGATAGGTCAGACAGACCCCGTGCTTGCTCCCCTTGTGCCGGGCAACGATGTAGAAGGTGCTGTTCTCGCTCCACGATCCGTGGCAGGAGTACTCTGTAATTGGCAGAGGAGGCTTATTATATTATCTGTATTATATAATGGCGTATACATTGCTGAATATCCACTAATTTTCTAAATCACTGCATCCGTTGTTGATTATATAAATGCATTCGTCTCAAAAAAACTTATAATGTTTGCCAAAAATAGTTTTTTCGATAAACAAATTAAACAATTACATTCTGGTTCCAACAAAAATTTGTTGTTATAAAAGATAATTAGGTTAGTGATGTGTTTAAATTAATCTTATTTGCAATATGCTTTACTGCAAAAACTGAAAAATTTAAAAGCTGTCCTACAAATCTTTCACATCGTATTTGCTTTTACCAATTATTTGATTTATGCTTTAATGTTAAGAAAACTCCTTTAAAAGGGCTGACAGAACTAAACAAACTACTGATTCCTATGGCAAACGTTCTGTATAATATTTAAAGTAAATAATAAATATTTAAATCCAGTCGAAAGGGAATAAGTTTACCGTTTCTTTTTACACCTGAATTTCAGCTTTAAGCTTTCCCTATAAATTTGCCAAGAGGCTGACATCCACATCCACTTACCCTCCTCCCCCTCGACACTGCACAGCGGACTGACGTCGATCAGGTTCGCCGCCGTGCAGCCGACCCAGAGTTGCCGCTGGGCACTGTAGTTGGGACAGCCGGGAACGTCCCGCCGGCTCCGCGTGGCCACGAATCCCACGCTCGTGTCGCTGCTGCTGTTGACCTTTTCCAGGACCAGCGCCTCCTGCTGCTGCCCCTTCTGCCCCTGCTGCTGCGTCTGCTGCTGCTGCTGCTGCGGATGCTGCTCCTGCGGATCCTTGGGCGCGTTGCGTCGACTGCGGACTGGAAGGCCGCGGGTGTTGGCGTGCCAGGAGCCGCGCTCCATGCGCTCCGCGTTGCGGAAGCTCAGCGAACTGTGTCTGCAACGGCAACACCAACGCCGGAAATAGATTGAGAAATGCCAGAGGTTGCGGCGTGGCTTCGCGGATGACTCACCCTTTGTGGCCGAAATTTCCCGAGTCAGTGGACTCGTGGTGGTGGTGGCCATGGCCCAGATGCGACTTTCCATTGTGATTGCGCTTGTGGCGAGTGGCCAGATACGGCGGACCGATCCCTCCGCGCAGCGTGTAGATGCCCTCCATGGGACAGATGGCCAAGTCCGAGTCTCTGGCTAAATGGCATAAACAAGCAAACGTTTGACGAGGCTCTCTCTCAAAAAAAAAAGGAGGCAGGCCATGGCTATTTACCCAGCAAGGTGATGTAGGCCATCTTATTGATGTCAAAGTGATCCGGTGCACAGGCGTCCTCCAGGCGAATCGCCGGCTTGCCCGTCTGTATCTCGATGACGAACGTGTCCCGTCGGTAGAACATCATGCACATGAATCCCGATTGGCTGCGGGCACAGAAAAGGGTGTTAAAATTGAACATCGAACATTGGACACTGGACACCGAATGCGAAATCGAAATCGAGAACGAAATCGATGTGAAGCCAGGGCATTTGGCAATTTGGGGCCACTTACCAACCGGTGGTGTAGTGCACCACGGCCATCATTTCGGTGGGGGTCTGTTTATTTATTTGCTCGCACAGCGCACGTGTCTCCATGTAGCCGTTGGGCTTAATAATGTGCACGGACCCATCGCTGCAAAGTGGAGTGTGGAGAGTGGCAGAGGTTCTCAGTTGGGATGACAACTTGGCCGCAGGCCTGATTGCTACTCACTTGGAATGATAATTGTAGACGGCGTTCCCCATGAGGGCATGCCAGTGGCGCTGTCCCTTGAACCACGCCGGAAAGTCGCAGCGCTCGGCGACGGGCGGCTTGCGCAGCGACATGATACGTGAGCCGACCTGCGGAAGGGAGTTTATTCAGATTAGGCGGGGGGTGTGGCAATCCGTCCACTCGAAATAAAGGGTTCACTCAGGAAAGACACTTTACAAAAGAAAATTTAAGGACTTAAATGTGCCAAAACTAAGTGCTGTTGCATATTTGCAAAAGAACTTAAAATAAACGATTTATTTTTAAAAGTGTTTCAATCGTTGTTAAATTCTTAAACTTTTAAATATAAGGTTCAATATGCCAAAAACTGACTACCGCTTTATATTTACAAAATAACTTAAACCAAGTGTTTCCATTTTTAAAGTGTTTAAATCATTTTGTACTCCTTAAACTCCTTGCCTGTATTACTTTTCTTCTTTTATTTTAAATAAAAAAGAAAACGACTTGTTACAGATGCCTCGTTAAAAATGAAAAGCTTTTTTTTAAGTACAAAAAGCACATTTTAAGAATAGTTGAATGAGAAGTCTTGAAGAAGCAAAAGACCAAGCTCGGAGCAAAATAAACACAATAACTTGTGAATACGTTTTACAGCTCTCCTTCTCGCTATCAAAGTAAAATAAACGAACGAAGGCAGAACTCACAAAATTGTTATCGATCTTGGTAAAAGAGGGTTTATAGCCAGCTCTTTGCGTACAAGGATTTTGTTTACTCGAACGTAGGAAGCTGTGCAAAAACAATGCATTACTTATTTAAGATTTCTACTACAATTTTTCTTTTATTTCTTCTACATTATTTAGTAGCTTTTAAATTTTATTAAAGCCACTTACGATTTTGGCCAACAATTTAACAATTTAACCTTAGGGAACTCTATTTTCATTAAACAAAATAAATGTTTTTTGTTTTCTTTCTACGAAATATTTCTCCCAGTGCAGTTAAGTGAAAATGACAGGTAAACAGGGTGGGGGCAGACTGGGGGAATGGGTAGAATGGGGCCTCGAAAACGCTTACCTCGGCACTGTCTAAGCCATTGCAAGTGGCGTCGCCGGATTGGGCCAGCTTATATTCGGCATCCTTCGAGCTGAGCATGCTGGGTCCGCCTGAAAATGGTAAAAAGGGGTACGAGGAACGGGTATTAGGGCCCAAACAAAAGTTCATCCTGTTTGCCCGGGGGCTGCCAGAATGGATGGCTGGATGGCAGGATAGCAGGATGGCAGGATGGCTGCTCTGGTGGGCAACTTACCCATCAGCGAGGAGATTTTCTCGTAGACAAAGCAGCGGTAGCGCTCCTCGTTCGAAATGGCGTGATGGTGCGAGACCAGGCCGACCAAGTAGCGTGAGTTGCCATCTTTCCAGGTTGCCAGGCACGTCAGTTCCTCAACTGCGCCGAAAAAAGCAGCAAGAAGAAGGAAGGCAAGAAAGTCAGTGAAAGGAAGGAAGGAAGGATGTTCGTCTTGAGTTCCGGCAAGGGAACAGCCTGGCGAGGCGATGACTCATTGTCACCGGCAACCGGCGAACCGGCGAGACTCACCCGTGCTCTCGGTGCCCTGGACATCGGGACAGGCCTGGAAGCTCAGCAGGAGGCGGCTCTCCTCCGTGCAGCTCTCGATGTTGGACACCGGCGACTTGCACTCCCCATGGCCTCGGTTATACGTAAAGATGAAGGGTCCTGCGAAGGGTAAGAGATGAATTCCAGAATGAACAGGATGAACCGAATGAAGTGGAGGAGTGGATGAACTGCTACTCACCCTTGAGCGGACACTTGACCGGCTCGGCGCTCTCCCGGAACAGCGAGTAGAGCAGGGCATCGCCCGGAATCTGGTCGCAGAGGTTCTGTAAAGTCTCACGGCCCTTGCAAAAGTCTGGGGGACATGATTATTTTAAAAGCACAAATGAAAATTCAATTAATGCAAATCGCAAATTAGGCGCTCGTCGAACACACAGAAACACATAGAAGTGAAGGAAAAATAGTAGTAGTAGTACATAGTGGTAGTGGTAGTAGTAGCAGTATTAGTATTAGTAGTAGAAAGTAGTAAGGTTAGTGGGAGGCAGAGTAGGTAAGTAGTAAACGGTACTAAGTAATAGCAAAACATTAATGTAAGGGCTTCTTGAAAGGAAATCAAATCTACAAAGGCTAGGGATGTGAAAAATATGTTTTATATTTTTATTTTCTTTTTTTTTTTAGCTTTTTTGTTGAGTGCCGCACTGGAAGCTTCACTGCTACTGGGAGTTGGGAATTCTCAGCCGACCATCGCCATCGCTGAGCATGCCATTTAAATTGCACAGAAATTTGTTTAATTAAGTGGCCGCTGATGCCGATGGTCCGGGAGAAAATTGCGCAAATAAATGACGAAATGAAGCTTTAAATCAGCAAAAATGTCGCAAGTCGAGCGTTGCGAGTTCACTCGCTGCGTGCAACGCAGCAGCGGCAAGTTGCCCCCAGTTGTCGAGCTTCAAGTGCGGCACAAAGTGGAGAAACAACAACAATTTCTGTGGAAATGTGTAAAAAGCAGCGGTAAGTACAATACATAAGTAAGATAAGTATGTAAGTTCCAGAAAAACATGGAATAAAAAACAAAAAATGAAGAGCAGAGAAGCAAACAAACCAAAGGCGGTAAGGAACAACAAACCAAAGACTTATGACGTTCACAGAAATAACTTAAAGACAAGAGTTTTTCATTTCAGCGGCGCTTCCTTGGGCTGTGTGGAGTTGCACTGCACTGCCCAACTTCTGTACTGTAAACTCAACTGAAAGGCACGACACGTTCAAAAAAGTAACCGAAAAGCAAAAACACACACTTGGTTCATCTTGTTCTTCCGGCTCTTAGACCAAAAGCACAGGATCTGGATGGGGATTTAGTGGGGTTCAAGGTTCTTGGATTCTGGGGTTTAAGGAACTGGGGAAGCGGATAATAAAAATAATGTTAGTGCCTGGTTGGGCCGTATATAAGGTATTTGTTGCTAGGGCAAGCATAAACATTTGAATCAACTAAAAAATGATAATAACAAACATTTACTCATGATGAATAAATTGGGTAATCGGTGGTTTCTGGTTCTTATGGCAAACGCGAGAGATATATATGTATATATATGTGGCACACACATATACGTGTTCGTTTTTTTTTTGGTAAAGGGTCCTCTCTTTTTTTTCGTTTTGTTTTTCTTTTTTACTGGTAAGAGTTGTAGAGTTGTGGTAAAAGTTAATTGTAACTAAAATCCGTTTCGTATAAGTATACACCAACAGATACGGATACAGATACAGATATGGGCATAATATATACATAAAACACATTCAGGCATTGTTCTCAACATTACAAAATGTTTACAGCTACGAAGAAGGCACACAACAAACGATTTCGTATTTGGTTTTGTTAAACTTTTCTTTCAACAAATTGAATTGTTTCAGCTTGTTCTTTAGCATTACACAGGCTACGGCAAGGAACTCAAAAACAGGCACACGCAGAGTCGCAAAAAGAGGTAACAAATTATGGAAAAAAATACCAATTATGTGTGTGGTGTGGTGTAAAAAGCCAGGATATGCAGGATACACTCGGGTGTAATCGACTGTATTTTCGGAGGTGGGGTGATACGGTATGGTATGGTATGATATAGTATGGTATGGGGGGTGGTATGTTCTTTGGGTGTTCAGGACCGGCCTTGCGGCGTTTTTGAGTAATGATTGTAATTAAGTAGCAACTACACTTTATGAGTTATACAAGGCACAAAAGAAAGGTGTAGGTGTAGGTGTACAGTGGGCGTGGCAGTGTGTGAGTGTCGTGTGTCATGTGGGTGAGTGCGTGTGTGTGTGTCGGATGTTTTTCATATTTATTTTTTAGTTGGCGTTTGTGTGTGTGCGTGTAATGGTCAAATACTACGGAGAAGCGTTTGTAGCATATATATGGGAGTATATCATGACAAGGCAAAAAACGACATCACAGACATGGAAAAACGTAAGAAAAAAATGTAAAATAAATTATAATACTTTTGCAGTTGGTTTTCGGTATTCTCTTTATGATTTTTTTATTCTTTTTTCTCGTTTTTTTTTTTTTTTTTTTTTGGTTGGCTGTGTGGTCGGAGCGACCGTTAAGCGCAGAGTTATATTAGATAGCCGGGCTAAATTACAGTAGAGTGTGGCCCAAAACATTCTAACGCACACGCACAACGAACGAACAACACTTAGAACGAACGCAATGATAAATGAGAGACACACACAGCTAGAAAGAAGGAGGACGAACAAAGGATTGAACCAACCAACGATAGAACGAACGAACAAACGACACAATCGTAACTTATGAGTAACCGAGAGCAGAAATTGTTGAGTTTCATGTTAAAATTACATTAATTAAATTACACACATGTATGTACAGAAACCAAATGAAAAAATGGAGGAAAACCCAAAAAAGAATAACTGAATGGAAACTAATTAGACAACAACAAAGCAACTGAGCAAACTGAGGAGAGTACAAACGAGGAGGAATACAACTCAAAAGGACACAACACGGACACACAGAAAAGGAAGAAGAACAACACAGAATGGTGAACCCATAGAGCAAATAGTAGTACGAATAGTAGTAGTAGGGTAGTAGTAAGGTAAAGTAGTAGTAGGTTGTTAGGTTAGGTAGAATGTAGTAAGAAGAAAGTACAATAAGTAATTGATAAATGAGACAATTATACTAGCGGTCACCGGGCAGCCCATCCCAACATTTCATCATCATATATGCTCGATATATATTCGTGGCTAAATATATATCACGACTCTTTCATTTTTTAGCTTGTGGTTCGTTTTCTTTTCTTTTTCTCATAGGCTGTGCAAAGGAGCACAAAATTTAGCTGAAATCCTTTCTTGTTTTTGACATCCACGAAATTGAATTAGAAAACAAAGTATGACAGAGAGTAGGTAAAAGTAATGAGCGCATGGCTTTCTATTCAGATACAGATGTGTCTCGAATTCGCTTTCGTAGGCTCTATGGAAACAAATTAATTTTCCTGTTTTAATCCTTTTTTATTTTAGTTTTTTTTTTTCGTTAAAGCGAAAACAGAAATCAAAAGCGGGAGTTGTGGGGGAACGTGGTGGGGATTTCGGGTGCGGTTGGGTGCATTTTGGGGATCGGATCGGACAACTGAAGGAACTTAACAAACCGTTAAACGAAATTTGAAAGGCATTCTTTGAAATGGAATGGGCGTTTGGGTTGTACGATTTCCAAGAGCTTGGCAGACTTGATCTGATTAGGAGATACAAGAAAAAAAAAACAAGGCAAAGTATTATGTCGAAAAGATTATTAACCATAGTAAGGAGATTTACAAACCGTTCGCTCGGATCACAATCAAATTTGAAGTTTTAGGTGATAAAACAATGGTAAACTTAGAGGTATTGGGAATATATTACAAGTGTGTTTATATGTACATCTCTTCATGCACCGCTACCAATCTTGGAAATCCTACTTTCAGCTTCGTCGCAAGCCGAAGCTCCAGATCTGGGATTATCTTTAATTTTTTGGTTTTAGTTTCGCTCGCTCATGGTTTTACTGTACAAAGTTGATGATGATTTTTGTTAGCAGTGGATTAATATAAACATTAATAATCATAATCATGTACAAATACAAAGAGTTATATATAATATTCAAAAAACAAAATCAAAGCGTCTCAATTGGTGACAACGAACAGTATCTCAAAAGTAAACTCAAAATCAAATCAATCAGTAGTAAATATGTATGTAAGTATGTATGTACCAACAAACAAACACAATTAAATATCTGTACAAGAGAGTATATGGAATTGGGACCTTTATTTACAGCGTTGTGTGTTTTTGTCATTGTTCATATTCACATTTCTACTATACAACTGTCGTTTACGTTTAGGTTGTTGCATCTCCGCATCAGATACAGATACATCTACTAATTCTGACTCTAATTCTTGCTGCTGCTGCTTCTGTTTCTGCTTCTGCTTTTGGCTGATGATGATTGTTTTATGTGGCTACGGAAATTTATTGCCTGCCGTTCCGTCGAATTCGGCTTTAATGCACGAGGTTAAGTTTGTCTCTCCTCTTCACTCCCCGGAAAATTCGGCAAGGGGCCCATTTCTGGGTGGCTATAGACACGCAAAGATAAGTGAGCCGGGCATAAAAATAATAAATAAGTATCAACAAAACACAGAACCTAACCGTAACCGTAACAAAACAAGGCATACAAATTAAGACGAATGAGGTTTATGGCACGAATTTTATGCGCATACAATACTGAATACATATATATAGTATAGTAGACCTGCCTGCCTGCCTGGATCCACGAAATTGACAATGGAGCAAAAGCGAGCCGTGGCGGATGGCAAATAACCGGGCCAAAATGGAACCGACCACCGCGGCACACGGAGCTGAATGGGGCGACAACAAATTAATAGAACAAACGGGCACCGACGACAACCAAAACGGGCGAAAAATGAATGAGCACATAAAATATTGCATAAATAAATGAAATGAATTGAAATGAAAATGGCAATGTGAAAATATATGTATGACACTGTGTGCGAGAGTGTGTGTGTCTGTGTTTGTGTGAGTGTGTGTGTGTGCCGGAGAGCACACAAAAACAACAATTGGCAACACACCGTGTTTGGCCAGGAGCGATGGTAGATTTTACTTTATTTTTTTTCCGGCTATATTTTTTTTCAGTTTTGGTTTTCTCTTGTTTTTTTTTGTTGTTTTCTGTTTGGGGGCCAGGACCCGGGGAAAACACTCGAAATTGGTTGACACCCCGGGCGCCTGACGCCACTGAAATCGCCCCGGAATCGGGAATCCGGCTCTGTTCTCCCGGGTGTCCCTAGGTAAATAAGTTTTTATGCTCGGCATTCGGTATTCGCGCTATATGCA